GTTAATCAACAGAAACTTCAATTAAAATAGAGTTGGGAGACCAGAAGAGGGAGCTCTCACATCCCCAGACAATAAGAGAGTCCAACAGGAAGAAGAAAGACTTCCTCTCCTTTCCTGAAAGAGCTCACTCAATGAGAGACTGATATAACTCAGCCAAAGAAGAGTCATAGATTTTTTTTATTTATTATAGCCCTCCCAATTTCCTTTTCCCTGCCATAAAAGAGTTCTCCTTCTCCATTTGTTTGCTGGTGACTTGCACGTGGCTCACCATGGTTGCAGACCCTGCACTTCTTCGCTGTCCCAAATAAACCCATTTTTATGCTGAAGCAATAACTGGCAGTCTATTTGTTTTAGGTCAACAGTGGAGAAGCATGGGGAGGAGTCCTGACACGATTAGACTTGTTTTTGGAGGGAGGTGAGACCTGAGGCAGAAGAAACATTGAAGTACATTTAGAAAAAAATAAAAATAAAGTACATTTAGGAGGTAAAATCAGCAGGGCTTTGAGACCAGACATTAGGGTTATTAAAGAGTGGTTTCAGGTTTGGGCAATGGAGAAACTGGGACAGATAATAATTCAAATAGAAGAGTGAGGAGTTCCATTCTGAACAAAGTACCTGTGAGACACCCAGAGAGAGATATCCAGCTGACAGCTAGGCATTTAGGCCTGGAGTTCTAAGAAGAGCCTGGCTAGAGATGGAGATTATGGAACAATTTTCAATTAAAAAAATGAAACCATGAGAATAAGTTCACCTTGGAAGAATATATAGAGTGAGAAGGCCTAGAACTGACCCCGTGAAGCATTCTGATATTAGAAGTTCTGTCAAGGAAACTGATAAGAAACAGAGCAGTAGAAAGAAAACCAGGAAACTGTCATCAGAGATGCCAAAGTAAAGGGATGATTTTTTTAATGCAATACTAACATGGTATGTATTGTTTTTTAAAAAATATTTTTTTTATCATGTATTTATTTAGTTGTGCTGGGTCTTAGATGCAGCATGTGGGATCTAATACCCTGCCCAGGGATCAAGCCAGGGCCCCCTGTGTTGGGAGCTCGGAGTTGAACCCCTGGACCACCAGGGAAGTCTCAAGGAGTTGATTTGATGACTTGGGTGGGGAGAGAGGGGCGGAGCCTCAGAGTAGGTAATATAAAGAGGATAAGAGGCAGCGTCAACAGGGACAAAAGAAGGGTACAGATAAGGAGAACTCAAGGAGTTGAGAAGAGTGAGCTTTCTCTGGGTTATCTCAGTGGGCCTGTACCTTGTCTGTGGTACCATATCTAGCTTCTTGAATAGTTCCCTAAACCCGGACCTCCAATCTGATTGAACATGAAACAGAACAAGAGGCAGGCTAAGATAAGGGAAAAAATATTATGTTTGGAATAATGCTTACTGTAATCTAAGTCCACTTGCCAGCTAAATATATGTGGATTGGTGACGGCAGGATGCCCAAGTAGTTGCTGGATGGTGCGTTTAAGTAGGTCAATGAGGAATAGAAAAGGAAGTAAAAATGCTCTAAAAGAGTCCATCGAAGTACAACTTCAAACAATGTGGTCTTGCTCTGAATGACCACAAAACTGCACCAGATGTGTTAGCCCATGAACAACGGTCAGAAAAGAGATGCTCTTTTTCAGAAAAAAGAAAAAAAGGGTATTGGGGGGGGGGGCGAGGTGGGACTTTAGGCAAATTCTAAGCTTAAGAGACAGCATGCCAAACATCACAGAATCTCTAAATGCTGAGTCTAGACACACATTTTCACACACACAAAAATCATCTTTATATATCCTGTGTTGTAAGTTTCTACATTGAAATTTACAAGAATCAAATGCCCAGGTACATGACTTGGAAGCCTGTTGTGTGAAAAAGTGGTGTGTGTGTGTAAAATGACCAAAAGCTTAGCAGGATCAGTTATATAAGTAAAACTTTAGCCCACCTTAATAGAAGTCATCCAGATAATAAAAGCATGAGTCCTATTGTATTCTGAATTCATTGGAATAAATCTGGAGTGCTGTGGTCAGTTAAAGCATCACATTTTAAAAGTAATATTGTGTCACATTTTAGGAGTAATTACCCCACACACACACACTTTCTTTCCATTCCCCCCCACCAGATTCTCTCATCTGGCATTTCAAACCTGGTAGAGTGTTTTCAAAGATGATCAATCCTTCCCACGGCACATGCCTTTTGCAGTGTTGCTTTTCCACTCTTCCCATCTAGAAGCAGACTCATTTCTCCTCCAGTTGAATCCAGCGGCCTCTGTGTCTTAATTTGACCAACTAGAAGTGACGGAGCTTGACTTACAGACCTGGCCCTAAGGGGCCTCACAGCTTCTGTCTTTGTCTTCTTGGCTGCCAGGTGCCAAGTCAAGAAGTTAGGGTCAGACAACTGACTGATGTGAAGTCAGGTGGAAGAGAAATAAGGGGCTCAGCCAACAACCAGCACCAAGGCGCCCAAGATGTGAGCGAAGCTATCGTGGATCTTACAGTCCTCATCAAGCCAGTGACGGTAATAAATCTGTACCTGTGCTATCCAGTATGGGAATCACTAGCTACATGTCTACTGAGTCCTGGGAATGGGCCTAGAGCATCTGAAGAGCTTCATTTTAAATTTCACTTGATTCTAACTAAAGTTTAGCTAGTGACTACCACACTGGACACTATTCCCCCCCTAATTCACCCAGCCCAACCCTGCTAACAGAACAAGCCACAGGGCAGCATAAGCTCACCTTACCCTTTCTGGGGCTACGAGTACAGAGGCAGTGACTATGGATGGCCACCAGTAAGGTCATAGCTCTATCAACAAAACAAAACATCCACCCCCCCGCCCCCCAGAACACCACCCAAAGGAAGGGAGTGACCCATTCTGAACTGATTTCATCTACATAAAATGTTAGAACCAGAAAGAGAAATATCCACACAAATGGAATATACTATTGAGAAAAACAGTCTTTGCCATATTTTTAAAACAGAAGTCCCACATTTAGCCTAGAAATGCCCTGATTAGGAAGTCAACCTTCAAAAAGTGTTTTCTTCAACCTTATGGATACGGAAGGGAAAAGGGAGGGAAAGAAAGATAAACTAAGAACATGAGGTTAACAGATACAAACTACTATACATGAAATAGATTAGCAACTAGGATTTATCATATAGCACATGGCACTATAAAAATATCTTGCATAACCTATAGTGGAAAATTAATCTGAAAAAAATATCTGAATCACTTTGCTATACACCTGAAAATAACACAATGTTGTCAATCAACTATATTTCAATTTTAAAAATACTGCAAAGACTGTTTTTCTCATCTACCAAAAACTAAAATCTTAATAGTTCCCTGTTCACACACTTTAGGGGGAGAGGTAATAGGAAGGAAATTTGAGAGCCTCCTATATGTGTTAGACAGTCACATATATTAATGCATTTCGTCCTCTTAATGGTTGTCTTTAAACTAAAGAAATACAAGTTCAGTGAGGTTGTGACTTGCCTAAGGACCTAAAGCTAATAGTGCCAGAGATAAAATTGAAATCCAACCTCCTGATTTCCCAATACATCACAATGCCTCTCTTAATCAAGAATAAACATTTCTGCCCTATTTCTGAGATTTTCCATGATCTGGCCACCTAAATAATCACTTCACTTTCACTTTTCACTTTCATGCACTGGAGAAGGAAATGGCAACCCACTCCATTGTTCTTGCCTGGAGAATCCCAGGGATGGCAGAGCCTGGTGGGCTGCTGTCTATGGGGTCGCACAGAGTCGGACACAACTGAAGCGACTTAGCAGCAGCAGTTAATGTTGAATCTCTTACCAGATTGATCTCATTCTGCTCCCTTTCACTTTCTCCCTTCTTTTCTTCTAATTCTACCTATCTTTCAAAATCTGGCTTACATCTGAAACTTTTCTCATCTTCAGTTCAATTCCTCAGTCCTCTTCGACTCTTTGTGACTCCGTGGACTGCAGCACACCAGGCCTCCCTGTTCATCAACTCCTGGAGCTTGCTCAAACTCATGTCCATTGAGTCAGTGATGCCATCCAACCATCTCATCCTCTGTCGTCCCCTTCTCCTCCAGCCTTCAATCTTTCCCAGCATCAGGGTCTTTTCAAATGAGTCAGTTCTTCGAATCAGGTGGCCAAAGTACTGGAGTTTCAGCTTTAGCATCAGTGCTTCCAATGAATATTCAGGACTGATTTCCTTTAGAATTGACTGGTTAGATTTCCTTGCAGTCTAAGGGACTCTCAGTAGTCTTCTCCAACAGCACTGTTCAAAAGCATCAATTCTTCAGGGCTCAACTCTCTTTGTGGTCCAACTCTCACATCCATACATGACTACTGGAAAAACCATAGCTTTGACAAGATGGACCTTTGTTGGCAAAGTAATGTCTCTGCTTTTCAATATGCTGTCTAGGTTGGTCATAGTTTTTCTTCCAAGGAGCAAGCATCTTTTCATTTCATGGCTGCAATCACCATCTGCAGTGATTTTGGAGCCCCCCAAAATAAAGTCTCTCTCTGAGAGACTTTCTCATCTTAATGCTAATTAATTTCCCTTTCCTTTCTTCTGGATTTTTACATCACTTTATAATGGGCATCACATAACATAACATTCTTTGTTACGTTACTTTTCCGTTAAACAGACCGTAATTTGAGGACAGGGGTCAAATTCAATCCTTAAATAGTGGCAGTCTTTCCTATTTCCTATTTTCCTTTGAGCCATGAATAAGAGTTCAGGAATGGATAAACGACCTAAACTTAACAGACAGATACCTCTTGATTGATTAAAATCAGCTCCAAACTCTTGAGTTTAAACCTCTGCTTAATCCACCGCGCACCAATTAATCCAGCAAGCTTGAATCGCGAATCAAGATTGAAGCCCGGCCACGTAACGCTGCTGGCCGACTCCCGCACGCCACGCCCAGCCTATTGGTTACCGATTGGGCGTGACCCTGCCTAAGGGCCGACGGGGCGTGGCGTGCGTGAGTGAAGGCGTGGCCGAGAAGAGGAACATACGCTTTGGCTCACGCTCGGTCGTCTCCGGTACTCCTCGACAACTTCCGGCAACGGTGTTCTCCTCCGCCGACTCACCTCGGGCATTTCCGGTCTCCTTCGGGTCTTTCCGTCTGGCTCCCGCGCGCGTCTCTCCACTTCGGGTTTTTCCGTGTCCCGCTCGGAGGTACTCGGCTCTCGCTCGGCCTCCCCCATCCCCCGGTAACGGTCGCTGGTGAGTTTAAATGAGCCGGGGCTGGCCGGGCCGGAGTCGCTACGGGGGGGGCCTGAGGCACTGCAGAAAGTGGGCCTGAACCTCCAGGATGACGGTGCTGCAGGAACCCGTCCAGGTAATGGTAACCCTCTTCCCTGAGGCTTGGCTCGCAGCCTTGGTCGGGAAGCGGCGTATGGCCACTTCGCGGCCTGGTGCGGCCTAGGCCCGGTTGCTTCTCCCGCCTCACCTCACGCCGGCTCCTGCCTGTCTTCTCGTCAGTTCCGAGGCCTTGCCCGCAGCCTCAGCCGCGTTCCCTCTAGCCCTGTGTTACTTCTTCCCCGGGTGTGAGCGGAGTTCGGCGATAATCCCTCCTTTTCCCTCCGGGCCAATGTCGGGCGAGCCCCTCCTGTCAGCCCAGGGGCTGGGCCAGGGCCGGGGTGAGCGATGAGAGGCCGAAAACTCGCCCCAGGTGTTCTCTTGCCCAAGGATGGTTGGGACGCACATTTGATCAGCGCCTGTGTGATCTTCGTAATGGTGGGGCAAGTTTGCGGGGAGAGTGTTGGTTTTGTTTTTGTTTTCTAGGAGAAAAGTGGAGGGAGGGTAGGATCGGTGTTTTTAATACTAATTTCTTTTTTGGTGACAAACTGCCTAGCCCACGTTGCTTTTTCTCCCTCACTCAGTTTCCCTCCGGACAATGATCTGCAAAGAGAACCCCAAGGCCCAGTGTAGAGGCGCAAGCACCTATACACGGGGAGGGGGTGGAAACACCAAATTGGTTTTTTTCCATGACCTGTGATGGGGATCAGGAGTGTTTTACTGTGCATGTTTATAAGGCGTTCAGGAAATGGAAGACAAATCATGGTTTTTCCATCCATACTACACCAAGGTTTGCTTTGACGCACAGTGCTCTGTTGGCATGGAAGAAACCCTATTGGATTTTAAGGGTGTGATACGGTGCCAAGTCATTTCCCCCTCCTGCCATCTGAAGAAACTAAATCTTTTGTCCCTTGGTGATGGACCAGGTCTGGAAGACTTTTTACACTATCATATGATTCTTTGACTTGATTAGAAGAGTTGACCTCTATCAACTGCTGTCACTGAGTCATGCACTGTATTTTGAAAGCAAACCAATTTTAGAAATTGCTTCATATTGCTCCTAAAGACTTGTGATATCAAATAGTAAAATATTTTAATACATCACTCCTTCCATATTTCTTTAATTTTTTTCATCACAGGATGAAATACCAATTTCTCCTAGTTGGCTCTTTCTCTAGCTGTTTACATATAGCAGCTATTAATTTTTTAATTAGTGTAATGTGGGATTCTGTCTTCTGTACAGAATTGTACACACAATTCTGTTTGTACATTATACTGGTGCTATCAAAGCTGTTTCTTTCCATCCAAATTTACTAGTAAAGAATCCCTTTTTAATGTTTGTGTTTTTTTTGAGACCTAATGTGAAATTAGAAGTTGCTATCTATACCTTCTAAAATGTATAAGCAGATTACTCAAGTTGTTTAATTTGTTTCATATTTTTGTTATTTTGTCTTAACAATTAATGATACATTTGGCTTATAGATATGGCTTCTAAGATGATAAACTAGTTTTATGGATAGCCTATGCATCTGTGCCAGGTCACTTCAATCGTGTCTGACTCTCTGCGATCCTGTAGACTGTAGCCTGCCAGGCTCCTCTGGTCCATGGGATTCTCCAGGCAAGGAACACTGGAGTGGGTTGCTTTGCCTTCCTCCAGGGGATCTTCCCGACCCAGGGATCAAACCTGTGTCTCTTACATCTCCTGCATTGACAGGCGGGTTCTTTATCACCAGGGCCACCTAATTTGCATAAAAGCATGGAGAGAAATATGTAGCCAATTCCTTGGTAAAGATATTTCTTGTGTGATAAACACATCAAGTTTTCTGTTTTTCATTGAAGTACTCTTCGGTACTCTTGGCATTAATGCATTTAGATATTTTTAAGGCTCAAGAGTCAAATTTGTTTGCTCCCCACACAACCCACTGACAGTGGTAACAAGTTTTAGAATATAATTAGGTGAGAATTTTGGTTTTAATTTTTAGTATAAGAAGCCATTCAAGAGGGGATCTATAGCAGTAGGAGAACAAGCAACTTTGGCTATTTAAACTATAATAAGTGATTGCTTGTATTTGTAAAGGAATGAGAGTAAGTTGGAAAGGTGTGTCCTCTTGAGGGTTGTCTCAGGGTTTGAAGTGTTATTAGGCATAGAAAAAAGTTGAGAGAAAAGATGAGCAACTGATTTTTGCTTTTTCTGTTTTTAAAGCTTTAACATGGGATACCCAGTTTGATATACCATGTAAGCCTAAATATAAGCACTTCCTCCAAATTATCTCTTATAAAAAAGTATTATTTGAGTCTTCAAAAATCTCTCCTATTATGAGGCAGAAATTCTGTTATTTATTTAATTTTTAAAATAACTATTTGGGGAAGAATAATCACTAGCCTAAGTGACTTGAATCAGTGCTAATTTGGATGTGTATAAAATCTACCTGATGAAATTTATTTTTTAAAAAATCAATTTTATATAGATTTATCCATTATTCCTAGGGGGTAAGACATCACAGAAATGTTGAATGAAGTTGTAAAAAAAACCCAAAAAGCCTTGGAAAAATCATCTTAATAAGCAATATAGTAACTGGTTGCTTTTACACATAATATTGTTTTAGAGATCATTAGATAGTGAAGGCGGAGAAGGCAGTGGCAACCCACTCCAGTGCTCTTGCCTGGAAATCCCATGGACAGAGGAGCCTGGTAGGTTGTAGTCCGTGGGGTCGCGAAGAGTCAGAGACGACTGAGCGACTTAGCAGCAGCAGTAAAGGAATACCTTTGGCTCGGGATAAGAAGTACAGGGACGGCATCTAACTCAGGTTCAAAGGGCGCAGTTTCCAGATAGCTTAGAACTGAAGATCGTGTGTGCAGGAAAACTGTGTTAGATGGTTACCCCTCTCCCAAAAAAAGGCTTTTTAATAAACTGTTCTATTCAGTAGAGCAGAAAAAAAAGAAATTCCTAAATATATTTTATCACTGTAAAAATGTATATATATATATACACATATATATGTAGCTAAATTGATAAATCAATAGCATTTGACTATTTGGTCTTCATTCAAAAAATGTATTCAGGTTAGCTGAAATACATTTGTTTATGAAATTTCCTTTTAGAAAACAGATTCCTATATTTAGGTACAATAAAGTATTTTGAAGACAGTGCTGCATAGTACCTGAACTGAGAGGATGTGCTTTGAAGTGGGGAGATAGAGAAGGAGATCATTACAAATATGTGATAATTCCTTTATGGACTAGTGCTCTGATACAGCCTTTGTGCTTATATAGAGAGAAAGCATGAGACAAATAATCACAAATTAATAATTATAAATTGTGATAAGAAGAGTACTATAAGTAGGGTGTTAGAGAGAAACCTAATAAGGGCGTCCTGACTTCAGTCAGGTTTGCAGTTGGACCATCAAAGTTCAGAAGCAGCCTCAGTGAAATAATCAAATTGGAAAGAATGTTATGCACCTGCTATGTGTCAGGCACAGATAAAAGACATTCTAAAACCTTCTCTAAAAAGGATGTTAGGAAAGTTCCTTTTGAGCAAATAACATTGTAGCTGAGTTCAAAGTTTGAGACAGAAATAATTTGAAGAGAATTACAAATAGAGAAAACAGCATGTGTAAAGTCCCTGAGACATAGCACAACTTGGCATTGGAAGACCTGAAAGGCGGCCAGTGTGGCTGGAGTTGCATAGTAATATAAGGCCATTGTAAGGAGTTCATTTTTCATTCTAAGTGTAATGGGGAATCACTGATGAATTTTCAGCTGGGGGTTGACATAATCTGATATAGATATTAAGATCTCTGGCTACTGTATGTGAAAGTTCAGGGAAGAAGGAGGCAAGAATAAAAAGTCTTAAGATGACGGTTCAGTTCAGTCGCTCAGTTGTGTCCGACTCTGCGACCCCATGAACTGCAGCACGCCATGCCTCCCTGTCCAACACCAACTCCCGGAGACCACCCGAACTCATGTCCATTGAGTCGGTGATGCCATCCAACCATCTCATCCTCTGTTGTCCCCTTCTCCTCCTACCCTCAATCTTTCCCAGCATCAGGATCTTTTCAAATGAGTCAGCTCTTTGCATCGGGTGACCAAAGTATTGGAGTTTCAGCTTCAACATCAGACCCTCCAATGAACACCCAGGACTGATCTCCTTTAGGATGGACTGGTTGTATCTCCTTGCAGTCCAAGGGACTCTCAAGAGTCTTCTCTAACACCACAGTTCAAAAGCATCAATTCTTCAGTGCTCTGCTTTCTTTATAGTCCAACTCTCACATCCATACATGACCACTGGAAAAACCATAGCCTTGACTAGACGGACCTTTGTCGGCAAAATAATGTCTCTGCTTTTTAATATGCTGTCTAGGTTGGTTATAACTTTCCTTCCAAGGAGTAAGCGTCTTTTAATTTTATGGCTACAGTCACCATCTGCAGTGATTTTGGAGCTTAAAAAAATAAAGTCTGTCACTGTTTCCCCATCCATTTCCCATAAAGTGATGGGACCACATGCCATGATCTTAGTTTTCTGAACGTTGAGCTTTAAGCCAACTTTTTCACTCTCCTCTTTCACTTTCATCAAGAGGCCCTTTAGTGGTTCTTCATTTTCTGCCATAGGGTAGTATCATCTGCATATCTGAGGTTATTGATATTTCTCCTGGCAATCTTGATTCCAGCTTGTGCTTCCTCCAGCCCAGAGTTTCTCATGATATACTCTGCATATAAGTTAAATAAGCAGGGTGACAATATACAGCCTTGACATACTCCTTTCCCGATTTGGAACCAGTCTGTTGTTCCATGTCCAGTTCTAACTGCTGCTTCCTGACCTGCATACAGGTTTTTCAAAAGGCAGGTCAGGTGGTCCGGTATTCCCATCTCTTTCAGAATTTTCTACAGTTTATTGTGATCCACACAGTTAAAGGCTTTGGCATAGTCAATAAATAGATATCAGAAATAGATGTTTTTATGGAACTCTCTTGCTTTTTTGATGATCCAGAGGATGTTTGC